CCTGAGCACTTTCATCTCCTCTGTATATTTTCATGGCTCAGGCAAAAATAAAATGGTGTGGGACAAGCAAAATCTGCTAAAAACGTGTGCCAGGGGTTCAGAATGCCCCCACCTAGGAGTGTCACAGCATGAGCTTTAATTAATACTGAAGGGGAAAGAGAATGCTCTCAGAGGAATAATAAGGGCAGCCGATGGAAATGAGCCGCTCGTGCCGTCTCCCTGCAGCTTTTCTCCTCCTCCCTCCGAGGAGCCTTCAGAGCGTGTCCTCCACAATTATTATTTCAGTGCAATGACACAAATTTATTAGGAGACGCTTACAGACAATGGCAGCTTCTTAATGCACCATGCAAAGTCAGGAGCGCTCTGGGGTTCCCGTGAACGAACGCCAACGATTTCGCAGCGTGCCGGGATGCTGCCGCACTTGCTCCCGCCCTGCGAAAGCGGGAGCCCAAAGTCTGGCCCATCGGTGACCTGTCGTGCCCCACAGAAGGGCTGTGTCCCCAGGGCTCGGGTTGGGGTCCGCCTGGAGGAGCGTCTGCCACGGGTTTCGCAATGCGGTTTCTGCAAAGAGCGGGTGCCGCTGGCAAGGAGGGAGGCATGAGCTGAGAAAGCGGCCGTGTGTGAGCACGTGTGCGCTGCCCGGCCTGGAGGAAGGAGCAGCGGAACGGGAGAGCCGTCCGGGGCTCCTAGTTACCCCCCGAATCACGTGCTGGAAAAGGGAAGAAGTGCCTCTGTGTCTGGGTTTCCTTTGCCTTCCGAGAGCTCAGGTTTGTCCGTACCAAGAGCAAGGAGCTTCTCGCCACCTGTGGTCCTTCACAGTCTTATAGGGGCAAAATGTGTTTTTTTTTCTTTTTTTTTTCAAAATAGGCTAAAAATCTACACACATGGAATATAGACGTGTGAGAAGTAGGGGAGGGTTTTTGCTCTCCCCATGTAGATGCCAGTGCTGCAATCCCAGTGGAGCTTTAGCACCTGGTTTGGAAATCTTGCCAAATAGTACCCTAGTTTGCAGAGAAAGAATACTGCGCAGGTCATACCTGGGGCCTAATTTTGATTTCTCTTATAGAAGAAAAACAGCGAGAAAAAAAGTTGAATTTCCGCTCCCCATCTGTACAAATGAATTCCAAACCTGGTTTCTTTCACATCACTCTGTGTTTCTACTTGTCTCTCGTAAAGCTCTTTTAAAAGAGTGTTAACCACTCCTCTAGTGACACAGGGCCAATGGCTACTGGGGAGCTTGCCGGGATGCTTTGCGGCGCTCCCGAAAGCCCTGGGTTTGCTGTGTCGAGTGGGTCGTGCTGGTGGGACGACTTTGAGCAGGCCCCTGTCCCCGCAGACGGCACGTCCCCTGCCCCGCTGCTCGGGCTGCGGCGCCTCCGTCTCACCAGAGACCAAGCGGGTCGGCTCTGCACGCTGCCGGGCGCCTGACACCGTCTCCATAAATGTGATGCCTGGCGCCTGCGGAGCAGCAGATGAAAGGGCTGTTCCCTGCTGTCTTTAGGCAACCAGCCATTGAGCGTGCATTTTACAATTTGTGTCTGATTTTTTATGATATTTACTATTTGTTTTTTACAGTGTTGTGTGCGTTTGCTTCTTCTCATCCTTTTCCCTTTTGCAGGCAAGGAGCACCCTGTTTTCTGCTTCCTTTTGTTCTCTCGCACCACAGGAAAGTTTCCAGGTCAAGCCAGTTCTGGATGGGATTTTCCAGCCCTGAAATACCTGGCTCAGATTAAGCTCAGTTAAGCTGATGGCCTACATGGATTTTTTTTTTTCGTGGAATAAAGGTAGTGCTTTTTTTCAACTCCTTTCAGCATGACCTAAGTAAAACCTGAGAAATCCCTGACTGTCAGCCACTCTGATCCTGCATGTTTCCAAGAGTTTTAGGGAAGGAGGCAGCTGGAAAAAGTAGGTCTCAAACAGGAGGAGCAGCAGTTTGAGGACAGACCCTCTCAGATATTGTCCTTGCCCAGGGCAGAGACCGTGGCCTGACTGTAGAAAAGCTTCTAAACGGTGTTTAGCGACAAGGGACAGCACCTTGGTCCTGATCTCTAATGAGAGGGGCCCTTGGACTGCAGCCCACGTGCAATTTAATTAAAAAGAAAACATTTAACTGCAAGATATGAACCCAATGGAAACCAGATTGTCTTGGGGCCATGGTGTGTGCGGGCTTGTTTTCGTCTCCGCTGTCTGCCCCAGGACTGCAGGAAGGAGGACGTGGTGGACATGCTGCGAGGACAGACCGAGTGCACATGCAGAGCCGGCCTGAAAAACGCTGCTCCTAGCACCACGAGGGGCTCCAAAAAGGAGGCAGTGGTGTTAATAACTGCCCTGATCTAGTTAATCAGGACTGCGTTACACAAAGTCACCCCCTGTCCTCCTCCCCCCCGCCAAAAAAAAAATCAGAGTTTGTGACGAGTGATGGGGGGATCTGGCCACCAGGTGCCAGTCGCACTCCACAGGGAATAAGCTGCTCTTAGGCCTGCAGGGGTTGCAGCAAAAGCCAATGCAGCCAATGCAGGACATCATTTATTTTGTGCCTGGTTGGGTTTTCTGCGAGCTACAGCTGGGAGCGCCCACGTCTCCGCACTCTCCAGCGATGCATCTCCCCACACCTTACATTCCTGCACCCCACATCACCTGGATTTGCTAATCTGGGCACAGAGTAAAGTGTTTCTAGACCTTCTAGTTTCAGATGGAGTTGAGGTGCCTCTGAGGCACTTTTCATGCGGCCCTAAATCACCTCTGTAAACAACTTTTCTCCTCTGGTTCTGCTTGCCTTTGCCCTCCCTCTTCTTACCTCTCCCCTCACATCTGTCCTTACCTCATATAACTTGATTTTAAAAATAGCCTGAAATATCTTGCTCCAATTCAGTAATCAGATCTCTTTCCATTTCAGTACTCTGAATGCTAAACAAGCCCAGCACTGCCAGTGTCTGCTTTAGCCTCGTGTCTACTGATATTTCCTTTATGCTGTTTACTTTTTTTTTCTCCTGGATCATGAATAAAGATGTTAAATACAAGGTCATTTGGGACTGCTGAATTCCAAACCCCTGGAGCTAGTGATATTTCAAGAACAATTCTACTATGTGATTATGTTTCACTTAGAGAGTTGTCTCAGGCAAGTCATTTAGAGCAGAACAGCAGCCCTTAGCTTCCTGTACCCTCTTAAATCAACCCCATCATATCTCCAAAGCCTTATTTTCCTATCATCCACTGTAATTGTTTAATTGTTTGCTTGAAGAGGCCTTCCTGGTGTACTTAGTAGCAATCAGGTTTTTCAACAGATTAAACAGATTGCCATTTTAAAGCATGAGAACTGGAAAAAAAAAATCCTTGAAACATATTGTCCTGAAAAGTGGTTTGAAAAATATCAGCCTCACGTTGATGTTGTGCAGCTCACTGGGGCTCTCCAGCAGGAGCATCTTGAACAAGGACATGGCAGCGTTTCATGGTGTGGGGAGGCAGCATCAGTACCTGGCTCAGAACCGTCACAGAGGTTATCCCCACTGAGACTTCTGTGCCTGTGTTTTCGTGTCTGTTTTCATGTGCTTTCTGTAGAATGGTTATTTTCTGCCCCAAGACTTTTGTCCCTGGAGAAAAGCGAAGGAAGCTGATTTGCAGAATCAAATTTAATCTGCTGTCGTTGCTTCACATGCTGTTGTGCTTCACATGCTGCCTAATGCATGCTCCTGTTGGGACAGGCTGGCATCTGTTAAGTTCAAAGTTATATTTCCTATGGGGAAAAAAAAAGAAAAAAAAAGAAGCATATTTTCATAAAATCCAAATGACTGGCTTGGAGTCACCCTTCACAGGCAATGTGAAGGATTCATATGAGCCTTGGGGAGTCCAGAGGCAAATGTGCTGTAGCCTTACAAAGAACGTCTGACTGCAACTGTTTGCATAAAGATGAAAAGTTCCTTTTTACTTTCCAGAGATTTTTTTTTTTGCATGAAGAGCATCAAAATCCTTCTGTATTCCAGCCAAATGCAGACAGACCTAACTGTTCTGCAGAGAAAATTCTTCCTGCAATGGTCAGTGCAATTAGGAACTGAAGATTTGAAGGTATCAACCCTACAATAGGGTTGATCACAATTTAGATCTGGTTTTCCTCTTATTTTCCTCCCCATGTGCTGGTGCAAATAAGAGAGGAAAATATGTCTGGTTCTTTTCTGCACCTCTAATCTTGCCCCCTCTGAAAGGCAGATTTCTGACCATTTCTGAATTGGGGAAATTCTCAGTAGCATCATCCCTGAAGCTCCTGCTCTGTAGACTTCTGACCTCATCTTCCACCCACGTGCCATGTGCTAACAAGTTTGGTGAGTTAAGCCTGAAATGCACCATCAGTTTGTTGTTTTTTCATGCAATTCGGTTCCTCAGTGTGGTTAAAGAAAGGCAGCAATGAAAAGAGCTGCTCGATCAGTTTTACTAATGCACATGACTTTCTCAAAGCTGGGA